GACAAAAGATCAAAAATAATTATAGAAAATGTACTTTAATTGAAATAATCATCCAATATAAAATACAAAAGTATTCATGTGCTCGGTAAAAAAAATATATATATATATATATATTGTGTGTATGTATATGTTTATTATGATTTTCAGGTTATTGCTTATATTGACATTCCATACTATTTAGTATAAGTAAATTAAAAATAAAATGCTAAACAGTTTAAATCCTACTAATGAATTTGAACATCGCAACATTATAATGTACAGTATGAAAAAATATTATGAGATTTTTTTTTAGATTTGCTAAAGATTGAACTGTTTTATTCAATTGGATTTAAATTGATGTTAAAGTGTTTTTACAAATCCATTTTAAGTGAGCATCAGATAATAGTCAAGTCACTTTGGACAAAATGGTCTGCTAAATGACTAAATGTAAAAGTCAGTCTAATATAAATGTAAAAATTGGGAAATTGAATAAATGCTAGACTCCATAATAATGCCACACATAGCTTAAACATGAGTTTACATGTTGTGCATTTCATATTTGCAGAAAAACTGACCCCATCCTCTTCCTCCACAGTCCCGGACCTTCCTGAGAGAATATTACCATGAGCACAACATAGAGCTCTCCAAGCTGCTGTACAAAATGGGCCAGCCGCTGCCTAGCTGGCTTAGGGAGGAGTTGCTCCACAGCAGGTAACCTGAAGAGGGGGGTGGGGACACACTGGTCAGACTCGGACACCCCTCCTTCTGCTCTTGAGGGTACTCACCCTCTCGTCCACCCCTGTAAGCCGCCGGCCACAGTGGTTGGTCAAGTCTCCTCCAGCGGCTTTGCGGACCTTCAGTTCAGAGAACTGAGCTTCTAGAGGACAAGACCGAGAGGTAGAGAAAGATGCCCTTAGGTGCGCTAGTGGCTCTGTTCCGTTTTGGAGAACAGTGATGTGCCCAGGACATAGCCCTGGGGTACGCCCGCTACAATCCTTGGCTCGAACATAGGATCACAACGGGAGGCTTCCAAAAGACATTCTACTTGTCTGGTGTGTTGAAGTACCAGGAAGACATAATGTCAGAACAAATGGACTTGCAATATGGGAGAGGAGGGCACATATTTATTTTGAGCTGTAGGACATTCACAAGTCCGCAACAGATAAATAAGTGCCAGGGTGGTACCTTAAAGTCAGACTTTCTTTTGTTTTCTTGGTTAAATATTCTTTTAACACTCATTTCATGTGTTGTGCTTGTAGTTTCATACTTCTGTTTTAAACGGTTTTTATTTCATAGGTTATTAAGCCCATTCGTTACAGCTGCACCCTCCGGGCTTAAAATGTGACATTTAAAGGTGACATTTCATTACAATGTATTTATGGCTATTAGTTGCGAATCCACAGGACAACTTAATAATGCGTGATAAATTGTGGTACTAAAACACAGATAAGCTACATCCATAATCAATGTGACTGTAAATATGAAACTGTAAAAAAGCTGGGTATGTTTTTGGCCTGTTATATGTGCAGTAACTGCCTTAATACAACTTTATCAAGCCAATTACGGTTAAATTCACTAAAGTATACAAGCTGATGTGTTTTGACAGGCCTCAAGGGGCTGATCTTTTTCATCTTAATTCGAATTATGAATGTCGAGAACTGAACCCATGTGTTATTTTGGCAATGGCATTATATCACAAATCTCACTGGAGCGTTAAGTAAGGGTATTACAGTTTTAATAGTGATCCATAAAACCTGTCCGCCAATAATCCTTTTATCACCTTTTTTTTTATCTTGTTTTAATGAATGTTTTACCCTTTTTTCAGTTTTTATGTGATTTGTTTAGCATATCACAACATCTAATAATTTTTCATTCAGGGTTGTCATCAGAATGTGTCCAGGAATGTATTGCCTCTGCCAAGAGACCATTTTAAAAGGCCGTTTTATATGACTTGTGTTCTGTAGGAACTGTTGACTGCTACTGAACCGTATGAATTACACCCATGAATGTAAGCAAGGATGCTGTATAATAGACACGATGCCTTTTCAGTGGCAGGCAGGGTGATCCACGGAAAGTTCCACAAAGCCCCTTAACCCAGTCGCTGGGGCTGAATTAAACCACTGCGCTAATGGATTTAATTTCTCTTGCTGCTGAAATGAGAAGTCATGAAACGAACCCAAATCTCATTTTATGGATAACATAAAATTAATTGGATTTAATTTTGTTCCCTTCTGTTTTTTTATTCATCTTTGAAAGGTTTTTGTGCACTTTCTTCCGTACTTCCATGCACAATTACATCAGACTCACTTCACGCAGCATATATCAGTCTCCTCTAACAGCTGTGTGCCTCTACAGTCATTTGGCATTTCGATTCAAGTGCATCCTTTGGTCAAGCATTTTCATAACACTTGTGAGTTCTGGGGGGGAAAAAGGCACCAAAAAGACAAATTGAACTGTTTGATGATTAATCACCCCTGATGTTCCCTGCTTTAGGATGGACGCTTGGGAAGGGGTTTGGCAATATTACAGATGGAGAACTGACAGTATCTCAGAGCGTTTATTTTCTATAATACAGATTTTATTTGTAAAAATTGTACAACCCTTAATTCTTCATTGACCTCAACGTGTGATGCTTGAGAAGCACAATGTTTGTGTTGTTGACCAAGGAATGGAAAAGCATACAATGCATATCTTGTGTGCAAGGATATCACTTCACACACAGATATTTGCACCAGTCCACAGGAAGACTTTTGGGTCCACAGAGCATTTTGTATTACCAGTAACTTTTACAGATAGTTTTACTTAGTTTTGGTTAAAATGTAAGTAGTTTACAATTGTGTGCGGTACAGAACCATGCACCTTACATGCTGCTCTCAGATTCGTCATAATCACACGCGTAACCTTTTTATTGATATTATCATTTCGTATTCCTGCTCCCAAGCCGAAAACTGGCATCTAATAATGCAATATCGTGTTTCGCACCAAGCACAAAATTATGTTTAAATAAAATGTGTCGCAGTGTACAGAGCCCCTTTATTTTGAGTGAATGGAACAGAGAGAGATTATAAAATATGAATGAACTAGTTATGATTTTTTTTAGACATCAACCACACACACAGACATGCAGAGACTTCCCATGAATTTCACACTGCCAATATTGTGCTTTCTGTATCATAATGTAGGGTATGAATAGATAGAATAAAATAACTAAGGAAATAATCATCTGGACTGTACAATCAAACCTACCGTTGTTAATATTTTTTATTGTTGGTAGCCAATATTTTTGTGATTAATTTGCAAATAAAGAAACCACTGTCTTTTTAGTTCTTTGTCTTTAAGTACACGTATTATTTCAGTGAGTAAATAATATGTGTTTTATGTATACATATGTACACATACATATGACATTTAATATATGAAAAAATATGTATGTTTGACTTTAACTTATGGTTTAGACATTGCAGTGCAAAAAACATCTTTATATAATACTAGTTAAATATAAATATTGTGATTATCACCACTTTTCATAAGCTGCTCAAGTCACATTTAAGATGCTAAATATTTAACCCTGTAATTCATATGATAGGTTGTATGCTTTTAATGTTTTATGGTGATGCATGAAGTTAACATGCATCACCATAAACTTTATCATATTTTTTTTATTTTATTTTACATTAAAGTATAGCTTTTGTTAAGAAGGAGACCACTATAAAAAGGGAGTACAGGTCAAATAACAATTACAGCAACGATGAAATGGAACAATTATATATTTTACACAAATTCGGTGGCTTTTGGCACCTTATTATGGATGTCATTTTTCCTAGCACGGAAAATGTTGATCTACATTCCTAAAAGAACCATCTTTCCATACGGATTAGCAGTCTTACAGCTGATCCTTGTCCCATGAAACACTGGAGAGTCACTGGTTGGTTTGATATTTATAACAAACACAAACTACAGCTGCAACTCAATCTGTCAGCGGCAGGGCATCTGTGAGCATGGCTTGCATCCACATCACACACTCATCAAAGCAGAGTGCATATTGGCCAGAGCTGTACACTCCATCATTCTGACACTGCCAATAAGCTGCTACATTAACCACAGACTGTTCATTTACATTTGGAAGGCTGAACACTCTTAGCATAGCCACAGTATATATGACCTGTGTGGGTTGTTTTAGTAGGTGAACATGCAATGTAGGTGCATACACTGTCCTAAAAGACATTTGTCATTTGAATGAAGTCTCTTGTTATTGATGTAGGCTATAGGCAATACAGAAAAATGTCAGGAGATAACGTAGCCTGTGGATATTGAAATCTTTCAGTTCTTAGATATATTTTTACCTGGCATACAATCTTGAATTGAGGATCGTATTTCAAAAACAGCATAATATATGATATGTACTTGTTGCCTTTGCAATATTATTTAAGGAAAACAAAATCTGTCTTGCTGCTGGCAAACAGTATTTCTATTACCCCTTAACAAAATCACATGAAAATGATTAACAATGTAAATTTTACACACAAACGTACTATACAAATAAATGTATAGTAGGAGTGCCACAGTAAATGCAATAGCAGTAACTCATATACTGTACTACAGATTGAAATATTTTGTTCTTATTGCATGTTTTTAAATTAGTATTCATTACAGGTGTAATAAAGTCTTGTTTTTATCTGCGATGTTGCGTGTGGAAACTGTTTTTGAAGTATTTGTCATAGTAGAAAATACATGACAAATTTTCAGCGGACAAAACTAAGATAAAAGCAGTAAATAGGACAAGAGCGACTTAATGTCTTAAGTAATCAACCTTAAAGAATTGAAGATATATATATATATATATATATATATATATATATATATATATATATGTATATATATATAGATAGAAAAACAGTGTACATATTAAATACAGAGATTGTGTTTTTTAAAAAGTAGAAAAGAAAGTAATGGAACATACAGGCTCAGGGGACTTTTATTATATATACACACACACTAACACTTCCGCTTGTGGAAGTTGAACTTTCAACCCGGCAGCGATTGTTCCTTCCTTTCCTGTTTCGGCCTCTGTCAGAGACACACATAGGTAAGGCAATATAGTTTCAATCCATTCAAATCCAGCCTTTATAAACAGTATTACATATTAAAGTGAACCTCGGTAACGTTCCATAACACCTCGCGCACCAGAGGACCGTGATATTACTCGTATAAATAGTGATAAGTGCAGTGTTTTAGTCGGATACCCGGTGTTGCTCTGGAGGGGCTCTGCTCCATATTGGCCTCGCTAGCGCAGCTGCACGATCCGCTATAGTTGCCTATATTCAGAGCAGATACGCTGTGCTGCGATACAGTTTGTGTGAGGAAGGTGGTCAGTTTCTCGTCCTAATCTTTAAGAAATCTCCACTGGACTTGTACTAATGACAATGTAGATATGTAAGCCCCCATTTGGCGTCTAAAGGAATATTGTCGAGGAAAGCTTGGGCTTTTCTGGATGATTTACGTGGTATTTCATTAAGTTGTCTGTCAGCAGTTCACACTGAATAAAGTCTGTAGCTTATAACACCGTGACTGGCTTAGTTTAAACGCTTAGTTGCACGCCAGGGGCCACTATGCTGAGACTGTCTTAAGAACTAGTTTGACCAACTAGCAGTTAGCCAAGGGGTAACCAGTGTTACTTTTCAATTCAAATTAGAGCAATCTACCTTTTTGTAACTGATTTTTAAAAGTTGTGACTAGTCTAGAAGAAAAAAAAATACATGACTAACTTTTTAAAGGGGTCATATGGTGCTGCTAAAAATAACATTATTTGGTGAAATTAAACTCTGGAAAGTAAGTACCGCAAGAACATGGAGAAAAATCTCTATGCACATGAAAAGCACAAATACCAGCAAAACAAATGAAGTGAGATTTTGAATTTGCACAGTAAAGTGTCAGATACTACAATGATTTCAATTCAAATTTTGCCTTGATTCCACATGCTGCGTTTTTCCGTATTGCTCTAAACGTTTATAGTGTTTCACTTGCCTGTCATTTTCACCAAAAAATATTTCTTTAAATAATAATGGTGTTCCTCATAATTGAAAGTGTACTGAATCCGTCAAGCTCCAAAATATGGCGTTATAAAATAGTTTGTACTTTATTATAAGCTTTGCGATTAGCTTTGTGTGATGACCAAACTAAGGGTGCTTTCACACTTGGTTCGATTGCTTGGTCCGAACCTGAGTTCGATTGCTCCCCCCTCCCCCTGCCCCCGCTGGACTGTGTTCACATTATTTTATTTGGGTCCGAACCACGGTTCGTTTGCGTCATCAAGCCAGCAGCTGTTTACCCCGTTGCTTAGTAACGATGGCGCAGGAGAAGACGGCAAAATGCGTAGCATTGCTCTCTTCAATTTCATTTGTTTTTGAACCGTTTGTTTTGTTTCCAAAGCTTCAGTACATAGCGGCACTTACGTCTGTCTTACGCAAATGCTCTAAAGAACTCTGAAGGTGAACAGAATTGAGATATGCAGCTCTCTGCTTGCAGCGCGTCAGTCACGCTCGTCAGGAAAGTGAGTGAAACAAACACACATTTTTATCAAATAATACGTCATTAATAGCGGTTCACTTCCATGATTTGGTACAATTGCGTTCACTTCAGCAGTGAACCGTACCGGAGTTCACTTGAACCGTACCCCAGACCACCCTTTTTAAGCGGACTCGGGTATGGTTCGTGGGTACACACCCGAGTTCAGAAGACGGCGTTCACATCATCCAAACGTACCCGAACCCGGTGCGCACCAAAAGTGCTAGTGTGAAAGCACCCTAAAATGTAAGTTATAGAGTGTAACCGTGTCTGCCCTCTCTTTCATTGGACTTTGGGAGTTTTCCAATAAAGATTTTTAAAAAGTCATCTTTTAGGACTTAAAGGCACAATAAGTAAGATTTTTTTTTTTAAATTAAAATATCCAAAAAACACTAGAACAGAGTTATATATTTTGCTGACTTGTGTACGTACATTTTCCCAAATGTTTCGAAGAATGTTTAAATCCAGAGAAATAAGCAATTTTAACTAGTGACACGGACCGTGTCTATAGTGTCATTCTGTGGCCTGCCAATGACGTCATAACCCCTCGATTTCCGTTTTGTTTTGTAGAAAACATGGAAACACCAAAGAAGCTTTAATATGCTATGCATTTTATTAGACAGGTGACGACCGCATAGAGTAGCATTAAAACAGAACGTTCAAATGTATCTAGTATGATAAAGCAGCGCTGCTTACTTCTGCTGCTTTCCGGAAGGAGCGGAAGCGGTCGACTGTGGCATAATAAAAGCTCCACTGCTTTTGAGCCGTGTGTCGTGCTCGTTCAGTGGCCTCGTTTCGCTTCGACGGCTTTCAGCCTCACCCTGCTTCATACTACGACGTTAATAAATCTTTAATACATTAGCTCATTCATGAACATGATTTCTGCCCGAGTCCCATCGGATTGCTTCGGCTGTGGGGATGAAGACGACAACTCCCATGATTCCACACTCAGTCACTGCGCCATCTAACTATGCCTTTGTTTCCTTGTTTGTTTTGAATACACGCCCTCTAGCGGCGAAAACTTGCATATTGTGCCTTTAAAATCCATGAACAAAAACCAACCAGCTGTGAGGTGAATCACCAACATTACAAAAATATTGATTTGGATCACACAAGTATTTGGAAATCAAACGAAATGACAGGTGTAAGAATGTATACTTGTAAACCGTAAACAGCTCATGTCCCTGTAAGTAGTGCAAATGATACAATGAAATAAAAAATATAAAAATTGATATATGGTTGCTAGCTATGTCTCTAGAGACTATATATTTAGCTTTTTTTTTGTCAGATATGTATATACAAATTTAGTTTTGGGAGCATAGGGAGATTGTCCTTCATAGTACTTCAAGGGTGTGGGTGAGTTCTGAAATGATTTTGCTTCATTTGCTTGTCGGGATGTTTTGATTAGATGTTTTTTGTGCAGAATCATGGGTAATGTGGTTTATCCTCAGGAGTTCCACTGTTAAACCTTTGATCCCCCTATGGAGAAAATAAATGGGATTTTTACTTCTAGACCTACTGTTGAACTACATTCACTAATAATTCATATCTAATTCAACGTGGCTATTAGATGGATCTTATCAGGTCTTACGTCAATGACTTTTGCATATGAGACGCATAACTTGTAGTTTCCACATTTTAACCTTTAATTTCAGAAAGAAAAAAAAATTGGCCGTCAACAACTAAACTTTTAGTTTCTGAAGAACTGCTACATAGCATGCAAGTTGCACTGGCAGTTTTATTTCTTGGAGTAATTTAATTTTAAATAGTGCCCATGATTTTCTTAAATGCATTTCTGTTTCATGAAAGCAAAAAAAAAAAGGCTTGTCATATATTTGGGCGAACAAATTCTTTTCAGGGGATGTTTGTCATTTTACATTCGGATGGTGATCATCTTCTGAATGAGTTTTCCTTCCTCTTGATCTTCAGAGAAACAATCTGCCGTGTTACCGGTGGGATGAAGGTGAAGGCCGACAGAGACGAGTCCTCTCCTTATGCTGCTATGTTGGCGGCTCAGGATGTGGCTCAGAGGTGCAAGGAGCTGGGCATCACCGCTCTGCACATCAAGCTGAGGGCCACTGGTGGAAACAGGTGTGAGGCCCTGAATGCACAACACATTTACAGACGAGCTCAAATATAATGTTCATGACAACTGGGTATGAGTTTATGAGAAGAGCGTATGAGCTTGCATCATGATTTACTTGCTTCCCCCCCCACCACCCCTCTTAAGAACCAAGACACCTGGACCAGGGGCACAGTCTGCGCTCCGGGCTCTGGCTCGTTCCGGCATGAAGATTGGCCGTATCGGTATGTTAGCACTAGCACTGCCATCTAATGATGCCTGATGTCTGTTCAGTGTAAACTTGTTTTATGAGGAAGTCTCATTCACTTTCATTTTCTTCTACAGAGGACGTCACCCCCATTCCATCGGACAGCACCCGCAGAAAGGGAGGTCGCCGTGGACGTCGTCTGTAAACTATTGGATTTTTTCAGAATAAAACGTCAAATAATACTTTTGCCTCCTGTCTTCATTGATTTCTTATGATAGCAGTGCCAAAAGCTTAGGTTCTCGACTGTTCAGCTGCCTTTAAGCTGATTACACGTCTAACCGGTTTGATGAATCTGATGTGTTTTAGTTTATTTTAAAACCAAATGAATGAATGCTAGGGGAACACCAAGAAAACATCCTCATTCCGATTATACCAGAACAATTCATTTCCTCGAAGTATTTCACCCTGTGCAGACACTGAAGACACTCGCAATTCTAGCTGGTTATTAAGTTGTGTAGAAGTTTAAAAGAAAAATGGCAAAACCTAAACTATATTTAAAGTAAACGGATTTAATATCTGGATACTTTTCTCATTTATGGTTCTATATACTAGAATTTCATAAGCTGTTCACTTTCTTTTTGGAGCATTTTATTTCATGCTAGGCAAGATAAGTGAAAGTGAAAGCATTGCACTCCATAGGGATAGTTCGCCCTAAAATAAAAAAAATTCAGTTTACTCTTCATGTTCCCAGTATGAGTTTATTTTTTCTGTTGAACATAGATATTTCAAAAATGTTTTTAATCAAACAGCCATTGACTTCCATAGTAGCCTTTTCAATGGCTTACCATCAACTGTTTGGTTACCAATATGTTTTTAGAATATCTATTTTTGTGAACGTCGTAAAGAAATTAATGCAGGTTTGGGAGAAAAAAAAAAGAGTAAAGGATGACAGAATCTTCATTTTTGGGTGAACTGTTCCTTTAATATGCGTTTTTAGTATTAGGGAAACAAGCACGATGCATTCTGTCTGTTATTTTTTACTGAGGAAAAAAAAGCTAGATATTACAAATATTTCAATATTCCGGCAAAGGTTACCATGGTAACAGGCCGCTCGCGCTCTTTTGTTACATTAACAACAACAACAGGTAAGTACTGTCATTGTTTATCACTTTGTTGCGCATGTATATTTGAGAAGTATATTACAAAAGGTCTTGTTTAAAAGCATTTTAGATTTAAAAAAAGACAAATCTCACAAAACCGATTTCTACACTGAATCATTTGCACACTGGCAAGATTTATGAACAGGTGAAACGTGGAAACGCTACATTCCAGTTCACTTCTGTCTGACAACTGATGATGCAGTCCGTCATAACCAATCAAATAATACACTCGCTCTGCTCCAGACACTTTCATCCGAGTGTCGCTGCTGGACTCTCAGTTCTCATATTTTCATAACAGAGCGCTGTTACAAAAACCCCTTGAGCGAATTGACTACATTTTGAGAAGTGTTTTCTGACTATCGATCAGAAATGTCCACCGACGGAAACGATGCACCACTTATCAGAGCTCCAAGCGAGCAAACTTCAATCAACATGGGAACTCGGGGAAGGTGAGGAAACATCGTTTTTAAATTTGTTTTATAGATAAATCTTATTTTTCCCCACTTGTATATGTTAAATGCAGGTCAACGGAAAGTGATTGAGTGTAAAGAGCTGATTTCTTCAATAAGTAGGCAGAAAAATGTGTAAAATGTGACTTTTATCACATATTTAGTCATCACTGTCAGTGTCTCATTTCAAAACTAACACATTTTAATGAAAAATTATGTATTGTATATGTGTTATGTGTTCTGAAATATGTTTTGTGCAAACTGTGTATATTCTTCCATTTGAAATGATCACACATGTCACATTACATATCTGATTAATAATTCAGTACAGATGAAAATACCAGACACTCTATTCGATGTTCTAGTGCTTTTAAGAGCTCGGAATATTTGACAACTAGTTTTAATGTAAACCAAAACTTTTCTGTCCATTTTAGGACACCCAACAGTTTTGAAAGGATGACTTAAAAATATATATATTCTTTTTTTGCCACCACCACCACCACCATTTCACTCGTTTGAATACACTGGTCTGTGTATTTCCTAACAGATCATCGAACAATCAGGCCTTGAAGGTGGCAGGAGTGACTCTGCTGGCTGGCATACTGATCGCAGGCCAGGCCTTCACCGCCTACATGGCATACAGCCAGAAGGAGCAGCTCAACACCCTGGAGAGACGCAGCGACCGCCTGCAGGAGATCAGCCGCAAGTCTGGTCAGCGAATATTGATTTCATGGGCTTCTCATCATACTACCTTTTAAATCACCACAGATGTCCTCTAATGAAAGCATAACAATTCAGACTTTCTTCCCCTTTTTTTTTTTTTTGTGCAGTAATGCGTGCCCCCTTGCAAATGCATCTCCCCATGAGCTCCCTCGCTCTGACATATGAGGAAGAGCCCAAGGAGAAGAAGGTAAAACTCATTTCCTCTCCTCTTGAATGTGTTTTAATATGGGCAGGCAGCCACTTGATGTCAGGATTGAGTCAGAAAACGAAATGGTTTTGCTTTAGAAATGATGAATATCAAAACAGGAAGCGATAAATGAAAATGGAGATATAAAAATATGGAAAACATCAATCCTGCCATCTGCAGATTTCTCATCTCTTTCATTTATTTATTTGTCATTACGCTCTGTTTAACAGGATTCCTCTTCCTCAAATCCCAAACCAGGTATCAAGATCTTACCGTTTTGAATCCGATTATTTCTCAGCAGCTTTATGTCTTTTGCTCACACATATTTGTATTTTCTGTCCCACAGAGCTCACCCAGTGCCAGAAGGAGGCTTCTGGGGAGGTCAAGAGTCTTCTGCCATCGTTCCGCCCCAGGTGTGATGAGAACGGAGACTATCTGGCTCAGCAGTGCTGGGATAAGACTGACTTTTGCTGGTGTGTGGACAAGAACGGCATCGAGATGCCTGATTCCCTGACCAACGGCACTGCTAAGTGTCAGGGCTTCAATTCTGGTATGAACTGAATATCTGTGTTATAAAAGGCCATGGAAGCTGATTTATTCTGTGACGTGCATGACCAACTCTCAATAATTATATTAAGATCAAGATCAGCAAATGTGCTACATATTCAGAAATAAATACAGCGTTCCTTTTATTGTATCACATCATTTAAAGCAACTGTATGTACGTTTTTTTTAAATATCAGTTTCAAAAGCATTCTTAGGGTACACTGACTTCTAATAAAGCAAACGGCTGCTTTTATCTTTCCCACACTTGTCAAATGTCTGTTCTGGGGGTATTTAAGTTTGGAGAGCAGGTACAAAATTCTGCAAAAAAAAAGAGAGGAGGTTTCTTTACAGCAGCAATTACGACTTACAAATCCACTCACGTACCTTTAGGCGTCTCCAAATTCGCAAAATACACAAAAATGCATGCAGTTGCTTTAAAGAACTGAAATAATCAACAATTAAGTAAAAAAAAAATGTTTTGGTCATTTTCCAGTTGATTAAGGTTGGCATGCACCTATATGACTGTTTCTATATTATGAGTTACTGCCTTCATCTTCATAAATGCAGTCACCTGACTGATGTTATATGATGCATAACTCTAATAGAACTCATTCTTCACTGTTCCTTATTTTAGCTGATGTAGTGGTGGCAGTGCCTCTGTTGGGAAAAGATGGCCACTGAAGCAGAGCAATGAAGAGCAGTTCAAATACAAATAGCATTTTCTGCTATCTTTAATTTTAACAGTTCTACTTTAACATTTATGGCTTGGTTTGAGGTAAACAGCTTTATATGTAGTCGATTAAGATATTTTGCTGTCACAATAGTGGAAAATAAAGTTAATTGTTTTGTATTGTACTGGTAATTATTACAGACTATAGTAGATTCAGCAGTGTTGACCTTTTATGAAAAACTTTCACTTGATGGAATTGTATAATTGCTTACTATTGCTTTTTTTTAAACTAACCTTTAATGTCTTTTTATTGTGAGTGTAAAATGGATCGAGAGATAAGTAATATATAGAAGGATAGCTGAAATTTGATGATGGATAGCAAACAAAGATGGACAATAAAATGAATTACTAACTACTTGTGTGCCCTGTGTCTGATTTAGACAAATTCCTGTAACTTTAAAGCCGAAATGTTTGCAGAACACCTGAATCTGTCTCGGTCCAGATTACCATCTTTGTACCATTTCGTTATCGGTCACCATCGTAGCGTACTATCTTGGCGTACAGACCATTTTTTAATACGTCATTTCACAGTACTTTCCACAACTGTTTATTATTTTTTCCTAACACTTGCTTTCATTGTAGAAAACCACCTGCTAGTCTGTTTTTCAAAAGATAACTTCTCTTAGCTACCACTTTCCGGGTGCCCAAGGTTGCAGACCCATATACATTTTAGGATTTTAATGAGTTTTACACACATTATCTATCTCATCCTGTTAGCGTCTACCATCTCTGGTACCCCAGGGGAAAAAGTATACTTGAATGCACAAAAAAAAAACTTAAATACCAGCAAGTACATTTGTAGTACATTCTTACAGTACATTCATTCTTGGATTTTCATGAGAAATACAGTAGAAATGAATGAATTAAAAGCCTATAGGTTACTGTGCTTAGGCTACTTTAATTGCACTAGTTGTCTCAGTTCGCTGTCTCTCTGTGTGTGTGTGTGTGTGTGTGCACGCGTTTTTGTGACAAATTTGTATAATGACAAGGGTATGACATAGGTATTACAAGGAGAAGGTGACTTTTCAGGACATTACCCCATGTCCCCACTTTTCAAAACGCTTATAAATCACACAGAATGGAGTGTATTGAAAATCTGAAATAGCTCAAAGTTTTCTGTGAGGGGTAGGTTTAGGGGTAGGGTTGGTGTAGGGCAATAGAATATATGGTCTGTACAGTAGAAAAACCATTACGCCTATGGGACGTCCCCACTTTTCACAAAAACAAACCTGTGTGTGTGCGCGCCTCTGCTGCTCTTTTTGGCCTTGTTCCTCGTTCCTACTCTGGGCTGCGTTTCCTGAAAGCATCGTAAGCCTAAATTGATCGTAGATCCATTGTTGGCAATGGGTCTACAATGTACTTAGGCTTACGATGCTTTTGGGAAACGCAGCCCTGGACTGTTCGCTGTCATTTCGGTTGGATTTCTACTTGGTGTAGTGCCGAAATT